GCTTTGGCAAGGCCTTGCTAGAACTCTTCCAGACAGAAGTGTGTGTGCTTAAAGGGGGTTACTGCCACTGAATTGACACAGCTGTTTGGCAAAAGTCTTCATCGCTGACAAATTCTACAGACATTTTTTATAAATGTTCCTACTTTTCAACAGGAGGTACTCTCTCAATGAAAAATAAAGAGAAAGAAGAAAACTTGCTCCATGCCCCACTCTTTTTGAGCCAACACTTGTGAACCAAGTGAGAGACAAGTCTGGTTTCACATTTACAGAAACTGTCTTATGACAGGTCCGTTTCTCTTCTGTTACTTGTCTTCCTCTTTCTTGTTTGCTGACAGAGAGGTGAACCTTTTGCACCCAAGAGACATCATGTGACCTCGCCACAGGTCTTGGAAACTTAGGGGTTTATCACATTAAACATGTTAGGTCTTAGAAATGGGACGGCTTTTTCAAACTCCTTTACTCATTCTAAATAATTTATTATTTTGTCACAACACACACTACAAACTTCAAAATAAGCAGTAACTCGGTTAAATTCTAGCCAGAACTCTCATTAATTTATATAATCTTTAAATTTCCTTTAGTTCTTGTGACAGAGCCTCATTTATTTTATTTACTCTAATTAATCAGACAGGATCTTTAGGTGTTATATGGAGCTCAGCTTATTAATACTCTGGTTTAAGATTCAACATGTTTTAGAGTGAAAGGTTAGGATTAATTCACTTGTGTGGAGAAAGGTTTACCTTCAGACCTGTTTTGTCAACTTGATAGGAAAATGAAACTGAGCCCACTCTACAGTAGTCTCATTCTATTCAGTGTTGCATGTTTTTAAACTATTTTTGGCACAGTTTAGACATTTATACTGTGGTTAAATATGAGAATCATTACATGTTCGACTTATTTTAATACCAAGTGGACAAGATCCAACTTGATGTGCAGTTTTTTTTTGTCAGTTTTACGCACCAATACTTCAAATTTACCGACATCCTTGTTAAATCTGCCTTTTAATCTGATCAAATGTGTCATGTTTTTGTTATTAAAACCTGCATGTCATTTGTTGATCATAATACTGAAGAAAACATGTCGATTTGAGTATAGATATATTTATTAGAAAATAAAAAGCAAAGCATTTTACAAGCCAAACACCTGCACTAAAAGACAGAACTACAGGACAGTCATAATTCATCTAGCATTAAATAAAAGCCACAATCAGCAAGCAAATGAAAAGGAAAGTATTTACAAACAGAATTTATGTTGACAGTAGAAGAACCATTTATTACGATCTGGCCCCTTTCTGGACTTCAAGCTGTTAAAGAGGAAGCTCAAACTAAGATAAAAATTAAGGCAAAAAAAAAAAAAAAGGTATTTCATACTTTGTTGTCACTAGTTTCACTGTTTTGGGAAGTGAGGCTGGGTTTTAGTTCAAACAAACAATACCATCAACTACCGACTCCGGTTTTGCATGCCTAATCTACAAAAACACACCCTGCTGATTGACGCAGGTGTGCTGATTAAGTTGGAAGTACACAAAGGGATCAACAAGGGACTGAGAGACAAGCATGTACAAATGCTTCACCTGACTAACTCCCAGCCCCCTGCGTTCAACTAATCTCAACTTCTATAAGCTTTTCGGCCCTCTTCTAATCTCACACACCAGCCTTTAATCTCTTACTAGAAAATGGTTGACTTTGCAAACTGAAGCAGGAAGAACCACATCACATCACTCTGAAGCAAAAGGTTGTGCCACGTGAACATTTGGCCTTTTAAGCAACTGTGGGGGTCTTTCCTCGCCGGTGCTTGCGGACCTCCTCCATCAGGTCCTTGAGATACTGGATCTCTCGGCTGATGGACTCCGCTTTCTCTTTCAACTCGTTGTTTTTCTTCTCCAGCTCTTCGCACTCCGAGTTCAGCGACTCCTGCTCGACCCGCTTCTTCTGCCGGTAGCGAGTGGCGGCCGTCTTGTTCTGCTCCATCTTCTTCAACTTCTTCTCAACCACCCTGGGAGCGCCAGACACAGACTTAACCTTGGAGGCCTTGGGGGAAGGAGAGGCTGCGGGCTGTGGCTTACAGTAGGGTTTGGTTCGGGATGAACCAGGCGTAGGGGAATTAGGGGGCGTTGAGTGACATGTGGGGGAGCCAGCGCCCGACTCGATGCCAGAGTCACAATCACTTTCGCTTGATGAAAAGGTGTTCTGATCAGGGAGAGGTGCGAGGGAGGGCTCCTCTTTGTTGGCAAGAACCACTACAAAGTGACCAGCAGTGGGGATCGAGAGCACAATAGGACTGGTGGTTTGGATGATTTCACTGGGATCTTGGATGATAGTAGTGGTGATAGATGTAGCCATTTTCTCAACGTCTAAAACATCGACTTCACTCCCAAGCTCCAATGTGTAGGCTGGGGACGCRGGAGATGGAGAGGGGCTGGGAGAGGGAGGCTCAGACTTCACAACCTCCTGAACAGGAGCCACCTCTGCCGTCTTGACCTCAGGTGAAACAGGGGTTTCTGAGGGGAGAGAGGGGACATTAGGTAACATGAGACCACCGTCTGGGCTGCTGTGCTGGGCGGGGACAGTTGTGTCGAAGGAGTCGAGATCCAGATCCATGTGGGGGTCGAGGGAGGCCAGGAAATCTTTCGGGGAGCTGAGAGACGCATCAGATGAGCTAATGAAAGACTCCAGGTCGAATTCACTCAGGTCCATTTTTTCTGACATCCAATCCAAGTCCTCGAAAGCATCTGCCAACAAAACAGGTTGACCATAAACAAAGTAAATACAAGAAAAACAACTACACAGTGCTTTATTACGACCGAATATTAGGGCCACACGAGGTGTTTTAACAATTCTTTTTAAATTACGAGAATAAAGTCATAATATTACGAGAAAAATGTCAGAACACTGTAGCCTTTACACGAAAAAGCATGCAGTTACCACTACATTAAAATGGCAAATGTTGAGCAACTTGTCAAGTTGTTCTTTAGTATTGCTATAAATAAATCTTTTAGCACATTAGCATCAAATTATCAGTAGCAGGACTTGGAAATTGTGCAAAAAAACTATAAACTGAAGCCGTATTGTAATAATGTATTGACGGATTTAGTCGTCACGTAGCTAATTTGGATGAAAGCATATTAATTTAACAGTAACGTGAGTCATCATGGACTACTTTATAAACATACACACATGGCTGTACACAGCAGGTGGGGAAAATGAGGAAATGAGGAATGGGAAACGGACACGTAATGATTACGACTTTATTCCCGTAATATTACCACTTTATTCCCGTAATATTACCACTTTATTCCCATGATAAAAAAAAAAAATCACTGCGTGGCCCTAATACTCTGTCGTACTTTATGACGACTTACTACTTCATTCGTTGTAGTGTGTTCTTGAGCCTCAATATCTAAAAGACGTTTTTTTTTGTTTTTTTTTTAGAATTAATGATTTCTCACCTTTGCCAATATCTGCTTCAATGTGGGCGCTGAGCAGGTCGCTGTCAGCCAGCAAAGACATTGACAACAGGTCTGTTTCAGCCTTGGTCTCCAGGAATGAAGAGGACTTGGTGGGGGGAGGAGAGGGGGACGGAGAGGAAGAGGCGAGTGGGGATAATGGCATCGTCTGATAAGGAGAAGAGGAAGATGCATAAGAAGAAACGGAGAGAGAGGGYGAAGCTGGCGCCTTCACCTCTAAAGAGAAGGAGGGAGAAAGAGCTTCATCTTGGTCCAGAAGGGGCCCCATGGGGTCAGCCATCAGAAACGGGGACCCTGTGAACATGGATGGCCACGTTAGACATACCATTTAGATTCTAGTTTATGTTTCTAATTAATTGTGTTGCATTGGGAACGTGTGTCAATGAGACACCAACCTAAGTACAGGGCCTCCAAGTCTTCCAATGCCAGCTGGGAGTGCGTCATGGCTGCTCACAGTCAGCGGTAGGCTCAACAAGGTGAATGAAAACAAAGGAGAGTCTGCTAAAAGCAAGTCGAGGGGTCTGGTACTGCTGTCGACGGCAGCAAAGCTGAGGGTGGGTGCCGAGAGAGACCTGCAAAACACATACCATGTTATGGTGACCAAGTGAACAAATGTCTGTTAATTGAGCATTCATAATTGATGCTTTATTATGGAGAGCGCTATATGCAAATTTAATTTAAAAGTATGTCTATTCTTGGATTGTACACGACTGGTTTGACCAGCTTACAACAAGCAATTCCGGTTTTTCAAGATCAGTACCAATAAAATGCTAACTTTCAGCGTACTAAAGGTGTTCAGGGTCATGTTGTGGGCGTGGGGAGGCTAATTCTAGCTAATCTCTACTAAAGCGTAAGTTTATGGGAAGGTACCGCCCCACCCTCCACCGGAGGATAACATTTCCTAATTTGGTCATACTCTGGGTTGTAACTCCGCCCCCCCCGTTGAGCGTCACCGTGGAAAAGTAAAGTGGGTGGTCGCCATTTTCACAACACCGAGCCATCTGCACGAGGCGGGGTAGAAAGAAAATCTAGAGCGCGCGCGCCATTTTGGCTGCGCCACGTTGACAGTATAATGTATTCAAACATCAGCTCACGACCTATAAACGCAGTGAAAGAAGTACTTCAAACTCTGATTCAGAAATGTTTTTGGTAGCCCAACTCGAGAACAGCAACATAAGCGTTTGACTGCTGGGACATCCCCAGAGCTGACGGTCTGTAATATGACACTACAACATCAAACCAGGAAATAAAAAAAATTAAAAAATAAAATACGTTTAACTCTACAGTGTTCCAGTTATACAAAATTCATAGTAGTATTTATCCAGTTTWAAACAATAGGTGACCACATTAAGAACAGATCTAAACAAAATAAAAATAAATACTTACGCCATTTTGCCTGAAATAGCCAGTGCACTTAGCCGCTGCACTGCCAAGTTGTTGCCGATGCACAGGTTGCTGCCGCACGCCTTTATTCTGCCATTTTAGCCCTGGAAAGCTTCTAGCGTTCGATATAAACAACAACACACTCGACACTGACTGAGGAGGAAGAACGAGCGGAAGCGGTAACCCCTGCTTATATAGAGTCGAAGCACCGCCGACTGTACTCCTCCGCTATTTCCATCCAGTAGGCGTTGAATTTGTTTACAACAACAGCGCGAGTGAGCGGAGTTCCTGCATAACAAGGACAGCCTCTTCACTGGGGCGCTACAGTTATGTTTAAACAAGCTCGCTTTGAGCGCAATCCAAATACAAGGTTATTCTCGCATCTAGATCCGTGTACAGTTTTAAAATAACAAGACCCTGAAATGTAGGTCAAATATAGAATGTAAACACCAATTAAAGAGCACGTTCTGGGCCACCGCATTTAAGTGCAATCAAGAGCGCGCATATATAAAATCCCCACCCCAAACACTTTTATTACAAGTGTTCACAGGATCACAATCACATTTAATCCAGTTTTTGTCAAAGTCCATTATCAAATATTTTTGTATTTATTAAAGTGTTTATTACAACAGAATGTATGAATGTATTTATTTATTTATTTATTTATTTATTTATTTATTTATTTATTTATTTATTTATT